CTCAAAAGCAGCACTGGGAGTTTGTGTTGGTGTAGTTCCTGAAGCTTCTCTCAACATAATGATGTGTCTGCATTTTAGCTTGACAGGTCCTTGGTTACCCCTTGGCAGGTTTAAACAATGTGTTTTTTGGATTCTTCTAATTGCACATTACGGTTTCACTGCCTCCCAAGAAAAAACTCTAAATGGAGTGTATTGACTGTGTTTATGTAACATTTTCCAGCATTCAGACTTCAAGTAGAGCTCTTTAGGGAAAAAAGTACTGACTAACTACACTTTTCTAGAACACCCTCTCAGGGATCAGAGAGTTTAACTCCTCGAGGAGGGCTGACTCCCAAACCTGCGCTTGGCACAACTCCTGGAAGAACTCCACTGCGGGATAAACTGAACATCAACCCAGAGGAGGGAATGGCAGATTACAGTGACCCATCTTATGCAAAACAAATGGTAAGAAGTACTTAGGCAGTGGAAATCAGTGCTCTGTAATTTGCAGGGGTTTTAATTTTCATCTGCTGAACAGAATTTTATTTTGTAATAAAAGCAAGTGTTATTTCTTCCACCTGTCTACAGGTCTGTCCTCACCACATGATAAAATCAAATCTTTATGTGAAAGAACAAAAATCTTGCCCCTAAGAGTGGCTTTCGGTGTGCTCAGTAAAGCTCTCTAAAGCTGTTTGTCGAAGAAGACATAGTTAAGTTTCCATCCTACTTGTATCTTCGAAGCCGAGCAGAAAATATATATCGAGCAAAGATTGGTTGTTCTTGCAATCCTGCACAGCCCTCAAATCCCTTGTCATTTTGGCTTCCCCATTTACCTACAGGGCCTTTTCATCAGTCTGTCGTGTTGACAACACTGAGCTAAAGGAGTTTAATTTTTGCCATTAGGAGCACTTGGATTTGAGATGTGCAGTAATCTGAGTCCCATCCAGATTCTTTCATCACCTTTGGCAACAGATGTTTCCATTCTTGGAGATGCAGCCAGATGGACCCTGCCAATTAGACATGGTATAAAAGGGTCTATCCCTAATAGGGAGCACCTTGGGAACTCCTTTTATGTGGCTGGTTCTGCAGCCTCAGCTGTGGCTTTGGATATCTCCCACCTGAGCTATTGACAGTTCTCTTTTTGGCCTAGGTGAGGATATCCAGTCCAGGTTTTTGGCTAGTTTTCACAAAAATAACTCATGTTCAGAATTTCAGATTTCCTCTTGACTTGAAGCGAGTCCCTTCCAACTCAGAATATTCTGAGAATATCTGAGAAGTTTTATTGGATGTCTGTGATTCTGTCCTAGCCTTTTTATAGTAAAAAGGCTTTTTGTTGCTAAAAGGAAAACTGGGACTTCAGTTTCCTGATGGACTCTGCTGGTGCTTTCTGGCTTTGCAGCAGACTAAGATGGACAGGTGGTATTAGTAGTGAGTGTACTGTTCTGTCTGCTGATGTAGGTGACTGTATTGCACCTCAGTGCTTCCAGAAGCATCACATCTTCCTGCTGTTCCAACAGGAGAGAGAGTCTCGTGAGCACCTGCGCATGGGACTCATGGCCCTCCCTGCCCCAAAGAACGACTTTGAGATTGTGTTACCTGAAAATGCAGAAAAAGAGCTTGAAGAACATGAAGTAGATGAAACCTTTGTAGAAGATGCTGCCGATATAGAAGCCCGCAAACAGGTTGGTGTGTGTGAGGTGTGGATACAGCCTTCTGTTTAAAATAAAATGTGTTCTTTGTATGGTTCCTGTAGCTCAGTGGAAGATTCTTCTACAGGATAACAAAGGGGAATGTGCCTGTTTCCTTTGCTGCCATCGGAATATACGTACACAGAATAAATCAGTTTTCTCTCTAAATCCTGTTCTTAATTTGTTAATGTTACATATCACATAACATTTTCCATGATGAAATGTCTTTGAGTTTTGTTCCCCAGAAGGTAAAAATGTGATAGAGGCACATGCTTGATTTTAAGCACATGAGAATTGTGTTTTGGGGTTTTTTTTCCAGTTTTAGCTTATCCTCTCAAGGCTAAAAGTTAAATGCAAATTCAGGCAGGCTGGTGGCACACAGATAGAAATGTGCCATGCAGTGAATTGGTACCTTTGACTTGTACCACAGGATTACCCACACAGCCAAGTTGTGAATGTGTCCCTGTTGTTTTGTTTTGTTTTAAGAATCAAGGAAGGCTAAGAATCAATATTTGATTTTATTTAAGAATCAAGGATAAAGTACTAGCTTAAATTCTGCCAGTTAAATGGTTGTACTGGCCAGTACTTAGAGACACTTCAAATTTTTATAACAACAGTCCCTTTTCCATTTATTGCTTATCCTAATTTTTGTGATGCAAACACCTTCAAATAAATGGTTTTTTTGAGTCCAGAGAGGTTTTTGCCAATGTCTGTGCCTTGACAAGGGAACAAAATATTTTAAAAAATCCTATGCTTTGTTATCTTTGAATAGGATAAACATTTCCCAGAATTTGATCCCTAGCATGCCCCGTTTGGGGAGGAACATGTTATATACATGTATGTGTATGTCTTGTGCATAAAAAGTCTGAATAAATATTAGTAATTTATATTTTTATAACAGAGGAAAGAATTTGAGTTGTACCATCATACAGGAGAGGCTTTCTGCCTTTCAAGTGAAGATGTGATGTGCTGGGATTAGAACATGGAAGATCTTGGTCATTGTTCCTGAAGTTTTGTACAACACTGACTTTTCCTGTAATTCATTGCCTAAAAGTGTATTGTAAAGAGAACTTATGTTTTTACACTTTGACAAGTATTGCTTTAGTGAAAAACTTACATACTTAAAAGTCATTGAAGATGACAAGTAGAGTCCTGGCTGTAAATTTAAGAGTCTTTCTTTTCCTGATGGATTTCATGTCTGGAGAGTTAGAGCAGCTGTCAAACTTGATGTGGAGAAATGTGTAAAGAATGATGGAGTTGAGGCTGAAAGAGAGCTTGATGGCTGGAAATGAGTTTGGAAGATCTTTTTTTTTTAGAGTTAGTCTGCTGTGCTCTTCCCATTCACTTTAGAGGCAGTAAATTATGTTGTCATCACATTATTTAGCTCTGGCTTCATAACATGAAGTCTTTATTTTTTAAGGAATCTTCACTGCATTAATCAATTAGTTTTTATATCACATACATTTCTAGGAAGCATCTGATTGTGTTACAGTAGCTGGAATAACTCTTGGCTTGTTTGTGTAGGCCCTCCGGGAAGCAGAGCGTGCCAAGGAGCTGAAGAGAATGCACAAAGCTGTGCAGAAGAATCTACCACGGCCCTCAGAAGTAAGTGGAAACAAAATTCACTCTTAAAGAAAGAAAAAAAAAAAGAAATAAAGGTTTTAACCGTTATAGGAGAAAATACAGTCTAAGTAGATCATGAGAAAGTGAAATCTTTATTTAAGTGTGCTGATTTCAGCTTGAAGGGAAACTCACAGCAAAGTTGTCATCTCCACAAATGTTCAGATTGCTGTATGTGTATCACACCACAGGGGATTTTGGCACCTGTTCTCCAGGGTCTAGCTGATACATAAAATATATACTTGGGTGGAGATCTATGAACTTAATGTGATCTTTGGTGTATATGATGTTTATTAACTTTCTTTTTATTCCTGGGCAGGTTAATGAAACAATACTGAGACCCTTGAATGTGGAACCACCTCTAACAGACTTGCAGAAAAGTGAAGAGCTAATAAAGAAAGAGATGATTACTATGCTCCATTTTGATCTTTTACACCACCCATTTGGAGAACAGCTTAGTGGTAAGAAAGGGAAAGGCCCAGGATTTGGAAGCAACAATGCAGAGCACATGGCTTACTTGGAACAAAATCCTTATGAGAAGTTCTCTAAAGAGGATCTCAAGAAGGTGAGAACTATGTGGCCTAAAGAGACCTAATATCTCCTTACTGACATCATACTGTAATCTCACAAAAAAAGGAGAATCCAAGGCTGCACGGAATTCATTTAGGAGATCTCCAGAGGGTTGTATGAAGAGCTGTAATCATAGAATCGTTGAGATTGGAAAAGATCTCTAAAATAATCAAATTCAATCATCCAGCACTGCCAAGCATTAAGTAAGGATAAATTATGAAGTTATTAAGTGAGGATAATTTAGGTGCACGTTCTCTTTTCTGTGAGGTGATGTTAATCTGTATTTGCCCATAGACATTGTTATTTAGATACAATTTTGAATATGCTTTTCATTTTAAGTAAGGGTAGGAGCTGTAATACCCCAACAGTTACCAAATTCTACTTCTTTGTTTCTGTTTAGGGTTAAATCATTGAGGCTTTAAAGGTGTGCTGTCCACCATCTGCTGCCTCTGTATTTTATTAATCCAGAATTGCAAAGCACTTTTTTTAAAGCAGTGCAGACTAAATAGGACAGTGGTATCAGCTTGTAACTTGGAGCAGGAAATCAAGTTGTTTAATTATGCTTGTCAGGCTTGATCCAGGAGAGCTGTGCTGGTGCAGAGCCTGCTGGGCTGTGGCAGCTGATCTGACAGCATACCTGGTGCAGAAGTGCTGAGCAGGCACAATGGTTGCTGGCTGGAGTGAGCGGGTGTTCTGGGCACTCTGTCCTGTTTTGCATTGTGATCCCAAGTTAAACAGCAGCCCTGGACCAGGGTTCCGGTTCGGAGTGTTCAGTTATTTAAGCAGCTACAGATGTTGCCTTTTGCTGCCAAGTGACAGGCAGGCAGTTCAGGCACACAGGGCTGTGGTTTGGGTCTTTCAAAAGAGCCTCACCTGTGAAGCTGTGCCAGTGACCTTTGACCAAATGCTTACAGGAGTAAAAGTGAGTGGAAAGGACAAACGCACTTGCCACCAAGTCATCTGTTTTATGCAGAGTCCTGCTTTCTGAGACCTGTGCTCTGACAGTAGGTCTGGTGTCTCTATGCCTAAATCCCTTATTATTTTCAAGTGACTCTAAAGATACACAAGCAGTCTCCTTGACCATATCTGACCAGTGAATCGAGCCTAAAATGACAAACACTGAACAGTATGTACTTCCAATTCGCTGTTAAAAGAAAAATTTTACTTGAAGATTTCTTACTAGGAGAAGTTAAAGATGGAAAATACAGTTAGATCATGAATTTCACTGCCCTGCCAGTGTCAGATTGTTCCCTTAGGAATGCTCTCCAATTGCTTTCTCTGGTTGTTTTGAAGTTCAGTAAGGCTTTCTATCACTTCCCTTAGAAACTATTACATGGTCCAGTAGCTTTTGTCTGGAAACTTTCTTCAGAGTCCCTGGAAATTCTGTCTCCTAACTGATGGGCAGAAGTTCTTTTGCATCCTTGCTCCTGCTTACTCTTTAACATTCGGCATAATATTCCCTCTTTGTCTAAAATCCAGTTCAAACCAGGAATTTTTCCTATCTCTCTGCTCTCATCTGGGGCTTGTTTATTTTTCTTAACTTCCATTTGTTTTTAGAACAACTTCCTCCTAAAATCCCTATACAGAATGCTCTTTTCTTTTCCTGATGTGTAGTGTCTTTTGGGAAGGATTAGCAGTGGTGCTGAGCACAGTGTGCTGAGCTCTTAGGGATGGGGAACTCATCAGTGTCACAACTAAATAGCCTTAAGTAGTTCCTCACAGTGTACTAATAGAGGCTAATTGAAAGAGAACCTTTATAAGATTCACCTTTGTCAGGTGTGGTTAGATGATTCCTATTTTATCTGTGTTGACCATCAAGGACAAGGAATTAATTTTCCTTTCCCTGAGATCATCTGATCTGGTGATGCCTGAATTACTTCCTGGGCAATATGCTGTTATAAAATATAATGTCTGCTTGAAGATACTGACTGCTGATATGGAAATTTGTGATGCACATGCAAATCCTGTTGAAAGAGAGGACATGGCCATGCACTTAGAACCAATGAAATCCAGATCAGCAAATATATTTTAGCTTTTTGATTACAAATAAATTCAGATGGACCTGGATGCATGTGTAGTTTTGTGGGCCAGGCTCTTTGTCAGAAATAGTAAGAGTTGTGAGAACAACTCAAATCGTTTCAGTTCACTGTAAGTTACTTTTTAAGCTGGAAAGAGCAGAGTGTTCATATCTCACTAGTTCTCTAGCCACAGAATGTGTTCAGAGGAGTGTTTCCTGCAGTGGAGCTTACACAGCTCACCCCTTACTGTTTAGACTTGACTTTCCAGGTTGTGTGGACAAGGGCAAGCAAAAGGAAATGAAAAGTGATTTTTGTTTCATAGAACAGCTGCTTCTGTCTGTACAGTTCTCCCTCCCCTCAAGGTGCTTGCTTTTATCTCTGTTCTTCTGCAGCAAGATGAAGTATCTTGCTGTGCCACAGCTTTCATTAGCCACGGCAGAGTGATGTCAGGCTTGGCCAAATTATATAAAATGAGGGATAGTTGCACTGTGAGCAGCCTCCCAGCCTGGGTTTCATTTATAATCCACAGCATCTGTCTTTGATTTCATAGTTAGCTTAACCTGGTGGTGAGCTTTTAGTATGAAAGGAAAAGCTGCCCCCATGAGTTGCACATTGAAGGATTGAAAAGAAGAAGAATTTTCTTGTATCCTGTGTACTGTAACTGCAATTTATTTCTCATCCTTTCCCAACAGGCACAAGATCTACTGGCACAAGAGATGGAAGTGGTAAAGCAAGGAATGGGGCACGGAGAGCTGTCAAGTGAAGCTTATAACCAGGTGTGGGAAGAATGTTACAGCCAAGTGTTGTACCTGCCTGGACAGAGCCGATACACAAGGGCCAACTTGGCCAGCAAAAAAGACAGGATAGAGTCACTTGAAAAGAGACTTGAGGTCAGTGTCCCTTTTTTCCTGTTTTTTGCACCTGCTTTTGGGGTTTTTTTTTAGAGTTTCTCTCCTTGTGTTTCGTTTCTTTTTTCTATGTAAGAGTTAGAGGTTACTGTATAAATCAGTCAGGTGTTTTGGTGGGATTCCTTTGAAAAGGTCATTGAAGGTGTAGCACAGCTCATCTCACCCACTTTAATCCTCATCTGGAGAGAAAGTCAGGTTCTGCTCTCTCGTAATTCCATGTGGACTCTTTTATTGTTTTCCTAATCTCCACTGTTAACAGATGAGATACCTGATCTTTCTACCTTTGCACTTTGTTCCTAATAGTGACCGATATGAGATATTTCAGATAAAGATGCTTAAAACCAACATTTCTGGATCAAAGCTCCTCTCAAGTTCTCTTTCCAACTTAACATTTGGTTTCTGATTGACTATGAAATACATGAAGGTCCAGATAGTCCTGAATTCCTGCCAGACTGGCATCCTTTGGCAATTCCAGTGATTCCCTCCAAAAAGAAAACGATGGGTGTTTGTGATCCCATTCCACTTTATCAGACCCTTTCCCTGTACCCTCTCTAGAGCTTCACTCAAACACTCCACACAAAAACCCACAAAATAGCATTTATGATAACAAGTGAGCTGATTTGAAATGGTTTCTTCCCACAGAACATGTGTTTGTTCTGACTTGCAGTAAGTCATTAAATGTTTTCCAAAATACCATTTTAGCCTAAAAGTCTCTTTAAATTCTGCAGGCGTCAGATTATTTTGTTCCACGGTAAAAGGAAACTTTACCAAAAAAGTTTTTCTGTATTTAACATCAACATAGCTACTGTTGCTAGAAGTAACCCCCCCCAACATCTGCCGCCACAGAAATAACATGAGAGAGGCCAGAAAGGCTGAATTTTCACTTGATTCATACACATGAAACACGGTGTGAAGGTGTTTTGTGAAGCCTGTCAGTCAAGAATGTCATCCAGGTATAGACTCTGTAGTTGTTTGTCAACCTCTCAGGCCAGGAGCAGTTCACCTGTGTGCAGAGTGGTAGTAAGGGTTTAGTAGGAACGGCAGAGCCCTTGTTGTACTGCTGCTCCCCCAGCAGAGAGCACCATTGCCTTGCCCAACGCTGCCCAGCTCTCACTCTGCTCTGATTCCCCAAAACTGCTGTCAGAGCACAGCCTGGCTGTGCATGGCAGTGTGGCCAGGTGGGCACCATGCCAGGAATCAGAGGGCTGCACCTAATTTGTGTACAAATGCTTTTGAAATTTAAATATCTCAGGCCCAAAACGACATTAGAAGGGCGTTACTAAAGTTGCAAAGTCAAACAGTCCAAGTTAGGGAATGCACAGCCTTAATTTGCCTATGCATGTGCTTTATGAGACAGTCTTTAATTTTGTGATTGCAGCCCTAGTTTTTCCACAGACTCATTTGCTGCACAGGGTGGATGGTACTTGCTTAATGAGTAGCTCTTGAATATTTTGTTTTCTCTTTATTGTTTGGTGTGTGGCCCTGTGCCTTTATGCTGTGTACTGTTTCTCCAGTCTAAATTGGTTACTTCTGTGTGGGCTTTTTTATGCTGTTGATCTCTGTCCATCTTTTCCCAATATTTGAATGAGTAGTTGGTGGTGGAATGCTTATTAAGGATACTGAAGCAAAGTAAGTTAGGTCAAGTCATCTGTTCATCAGATTCCTGTATGTTTGTTCTAAGTGTTCGTTGCTCTATAGTCACAAGACAGTCATCCAGGAAGCAAAATACAAATCAGAGGTCTTGCCAAAAAAAAGTAAAATTGGTTTTTATTTGCTGCCAACATTTGCATGGGACTCTGTGGAATGCACTGAACAAAATCCAGGGAGCTGTGTCCCATCAGGTCAGGGAGGCAATCCTGCCCCTCTGCTCAGCCCTGGTGAGGCACATCTGCAGTGCTGTGTCCAGTTCTGGGCTCCTCATCACAAGAGAGACTTGGAGCTCCAGGAGCAGGTCCAGCCAAGGGTGACAAAGATGATGAAGGGACTGGAGCATCTTCTGATGAGGAAAGTCTGGGGGAGCTGGGGCTGTTCAACCTTGAGAGGAGGCTGAGAGGGGACTTCATCCATGTCTGTCAGTGTCTGCAGGGAGGGGTCAGAGGATGGACCAGGTTCTGCTCGGGGATGCCCAGCAATGGGACAAGAGGCCGTGGACAGAAACTGATGCTCAGGAAGTTCCACCTGAATGTGAGGGAAAACTTCTTTCCTGTGCAGTGACTGAGCACTGGAACAGGTTGCCCAGAGAGTCTGTAGAGTCTTCCTCACTGGAGATATTCCAGAACCATCTGGCCACAATCCTGTGCCAAGTGCCCTGCTTGAGCAGGGAGGTTGGACCAGGTGACCCCCTGTGGTCCCCTCCAGCCTGACTCATTCTGTGATTCTGTGACAACAATCAGTCACTGCAATCATGGGATTCTCTCCCTAATGTAGCTGCATCACTTGGGAGCTCAGAGTGCTGCTGGATGAGGCTGATGGCTTGGTGCACTTTACACACAATCCTGCTCTCCTGTTTTACTGTGTTCCAAAATCCCATCCCCCAGTTCAGTCAGGCACCGGGGCCAGCAGAGCTCTCTGTGCCCCATGGCTGCAGGTGCAGCACTGCCTCTCACAACTCACTGTTTCCTGAGTGCAGGTGGACTCTTTGCAAAGTTAAATTTGAGCTGAAAATTTCTCCCAAGTGTGTGCAAAATGCAGTTTAGTGCAGCTCTGTGGCCTGACCTATTTAAAAGGCCCATTCCTAAAAGCAAGATATGCATATACAGTTTTTTAAGCGTAGGTCACCTGCTGAATTGTTTTTTAAATAATGAATAAAAACCATAGCAGTTTAATGAACAAATGAATATGCAGTAAAAAAGCACAGCAATTTTTTTTCCCCTAACCCATTCTCAGCAATGGGAAAAGCCACGTTCATTTTAATGTTTTTCCAAGGAAAATTGTCTGAAAGCAATATCAGTTGAAATAGATATTTTAATGGGAAGTATCAGACAAGCTTAATGAAAAGCAGGGACATTAGCTCAGCTTTCAGTACCCTAAGATACTTGCTTTACTCTTAACTTCCTTTGAGAGAAGAGTAGAAACTGTAAAATAGTTTGCCAGCAACAGCAACTGATATTGGTCAGCTCTGGGGCTGCTGCTTCTGCTTTATGTTGTATTAAGATCACCAGGGAAGAAAAAGCCATGAGAGTTTATTGATATTTGGCACAGCTGCACCTCGGGTAGTCACTGTCTTAACACTTCCATATGGGACTGCTGACACCCTGCAGGTCCCGTGCAAAAAATTCCGGCTCTTTCTGGGCCTGTTCATCACTCAGAGATTCCTGGCTGGATTGATGGTGTGGACACACAGTCGTCTTCCCTTAATTGGCCTGTTCTCACTGCCTCAGTGATTCCATGGTGGCAGCCTGGTGTATGTTGACACGACATTTATCTTTCTGGAATGGACGGTGATACCACAAACACACTTGGGCTGTTACTGATGAACCTGAGGAGGGAAAGCAGAGCGGTTGTGGAGAGCTTCTGTTTGGCTGGGTTATCCTGTCCAGGCACCCCCAGCAATAGTTCCAATGATGGACTGTCCTGCTGTGTGTTAGTAATACTTTCCACTTCTCTGCTTTGAGGGTTTTGGACTCTTTGAATGTGTTACTTACTGTGGATAAAGTGTGTTACAAGACTAGTATGTGAACTCTTTTGCATTACAGAGGGGGAGTTTCAGGTCCATGCAAGTGAATCTCTGTGACCTCACTATGTGTCTGTGGTACAGCTTAGATTTGTGGAATTTTCTGGTGTTTCTAGTAGCTTTGGGAAGTCCAGCATATTTTTTCAAGGCTAGGCTACACTGTAGAACAAGTCATTTCAGAAATGGGAGTTTGCTGATGCTTACTACTGTAAGTTGCATTTACTACTTCATTTCTCTGCTATAGCTTTTATTCCCTTCTCTTCCAAACAATATATTTACAAAGAAAAGCATTCCTGCTAAGGTGTGTGTTACACTAGGGACCTTATAAGATGAAATGAGATAGCAGAGGCATCTATTTAACAAAATAGTTGCTTCCCTTTGTAGTTCATAACTTAGGAACTTCCTGCCAGCATTATTTTTTCTTTGAAGACAGTTCATAAACTTGGCTTGCAGCATACAAATATTTTTATTAAAATTGTGGTAGTTAATGTTATCATTTCATTTGATGGTTAAATTATAAACACTATTGAAAGCCCACAGGGGAAGGCTCAAGGTACATTGTCTGTGCAAAATTTAGTAAATTATCTATTCTTTGCAGTATCCAAGATATATCAAGGTGATAATTTACCAGTGTCCATTTTTGCTTTTGATTGCAGCCCAAGTCCTCTGAATTAATTCAAATTGAAAACCACTTGCTTAGCTGGAGTTTTATGGTTTACATGCTACATTCTGCTGCAGAGTGTATCACTTACTAGATTATTGGAGATTGTATTTTAATTTCTCTGTAGTTTACATGCTTCTACAGTTTGCAGTTTCTTTTGCATTTTCAGATATGCTATTACTGAGAAAACACCTGGAGAAAATAGGAGATTTTATAAGACTAGGAATAGAGAAAATACTCACAAAACTAAAATATGGTGGAAATCCTGAGAGTCTTGCTTTTATGCTCACGTATTTTATTTTGTGCTAATGTGTTGCCTTTGTGGAATAGGCTTTTTTTAATAAGGTCTCTTGGGAGAGTAACTGGAACCAGAGGATCACAGCAAAGGGTTATCAGTGGTCTTCACTGCCAAGTTGTTCATAATCTGATAATTTACAATGCTTAGAAATAAAGTTCAGCATTGACAAAGCTCTTCATTGCAAAGGGTCTTTGCACACCATCACTGTCCAAAATTGACTGCTGCAAGCTCACCATGAGGCTTCTGCTGGGTATTGAGAGGGAACCAGGCTGTTTGCTGACTTGTTTAATGCCTGAGCTTCTGCAGGATTGTCAGCTTCTGCTCTGGAGGAGACCAATGCAGGCAGTCTG